ATTGCCTCCAAGTATTAACAAAAACACAGAAAAATAAGTTATTTGTACATGCAAATACACTGTATTTTTTTATTTATCACTAGTGATTCTTATTTACCTTTCAATTATAATTACATTTCCCATTTATTTTCTGTCACTTATTGTCACTAAGTTTTCAAGCCTTATAGCAGCAGCACTAAGAGCACCAAATATCCCCTCATGAAAATCTAAGTTACTGTATTTACAGCGTTAAACAGTTAACATGCAAATCCTCTACGTCTCAAAATACAGACAGCTTAAATTTTCCAGTGGGGTGTCTACAGCACAGTATCATACTGAACTTAGGCGCATGACTCATTAAATTTCCACTTTTTACCATAATTAGAGAAAACGTAAATATCCCCCCCTTTTATGCTATTAAAAGACAATTATTTGCATCTTTAAGAAGGGAGATGACGGTGTTATGAGTTATGATGTTCACAGGATTTGAAAGCGAAAGAAAATAATTTCAGTGGGATGTGGGTGAAAATAAGTTTCCTGATGAGTAGGTTTTCCCAGAGTCTAACAAAACCATCCAAATTCTCCATGCAAATATGAAACTGTCATTAATTACTTCTGATTTAGGGAAAATATATCAATAACATTATTTGGAGGGAATTAATTGCATTCACTTTGAAAAATAATGGTTGAAAATGTAAACAGGTTTATTTTTCTAATCATTAAGGGTTTGAAGCGATGTGGGAATCTATCGAGACAACATACTTCTAAAGAAGGGACTAGATTAGATTATAGAGTAAATCCAACCACATCCAGCACAGATCATTATAAGTATTACGCAGAGCAAATAGGAAGCAGAACTGAACTAAATACTTAACCACATATCAAACAACATACAACATACAGACATGATTTGAATACAACAATACGGCAAATGCCCTAAAATCTCTAGTTTTTTTGTGTTAACCAGATTAACTTCATTTTAGCTCAGTTGAAAAGCTGCCCTTTGAAAGCCTAAATGTTTGGGTGGGTTAGATGTGATGTTTTACAATGTGGGACGTGGATTGATGATAAAAGGGCCTTTTTAACAGACATGTTCACAAGTCATTTTTTGCAAGTCCAAGTCAAGTCTCAAGTCTNATTAATTACTTCTGATTTAGGGAAAATATATCAATAACATTATTTGGAGGGAATTAATTGCATTCACTTTGAAAAATAATGGTTGAAAATGTAAACAGGTTTATTTTTCTAATCATTAAGGGTTTGAAGCGATGTGGGAATCTATCGAGACAACATACTTCTAAAGAAGGGACTAGATTAGATTATAGAGTAAATCCAACCACATCCAGCACAGATCATTATAAGTATTACGCAGAGCAAATAGGAAGCAGAACTGAACTAAATACTTAACCACATATCAAACAACATACAACATACAGACATGATTTGAATACAACAATACGGCAAATGCCCTAAAATCTCTAGTTTTTTTTGTGTTAACCAAATTAACTTTATTTTAGCTCAGTTGAAAAGCTGCCCTTTGAAAGCCTCTAAATGTTTGGGGGGGTTAGATGTGATGGTTTACAGTGTGGGACGAGGAATGATGATAAAAGGGCCCTATTTAACAAAAGTTAAATTCAGAAATCCCTGGATAAGACAAAGTCAGAGTTGACTCAGCATGAGGAGTCCTGGTTCATCCATTCTACAACACTTAACCAGGCTCCACAGCGGGAAGTAATCAAGCTAAATGCAGGTCTGCAGTTTTCTTCAAGAGACTATGAGATTGATCACAGATTTATTGATTTTTATTTTCTGCCTAACTAGTTTGACTTTTTTTCTTTAGAAGAACAACTATTAATCTAGAAAATGATCTTTTCTGCCCTGACAGTCTTTCTGTGATGTAATGGTTTAATTCCTTGACTTCAAAGTGAGATACTTGGAAGGAAAAAATGAACACCACTTAAAAACCATCTAAAGATTTTTTAAACAAATAATATTTTGTACCTTTCTACTGCATAACTTTAACGGAGGGTTTTCTACCGGAGAAGCGTGGACTCCCCTCTTCAGGTCGGTGGAGAGTCTTAGCCTCAAGTGGCAGAGTTCAAGTATCTTGGCGTCTTGTTCACGAGTGAAGTACGGATGGAGCGTGAAATCGATAGACGGGTCGGTGCAGCATAGGCAGTGAATCTAATAAATAATGAATATTGATTATCACTTTGTATTTCAAACATTCAGTTGAAACTTCAGGTTGCATGCTCTTCTTTAGTCTGATAAACCAGATTAAATGTGAGATTAAATCTGTAATTTAGTCTGGCCCAGATGAATGAGACATCGGAAGATTGTTGATGAGATCAACCCATTGATTTTCAAACCATGTCTGTGCCTATTGGCCAACGCTCTGACCAATGAGCGCAACTGACTGTGACGTAGTAAGCGTGACAGAAAGCTGGTGGGGGAGTGTAAACAAACAGCCTGTTGGTAAAACGCTGAATACGTCCTTCTTAAAAATGAATGAGCGTAGAGCCTCTTCTTGCTCACGTTTCAATGAAAACACCAAGTCTAATCCTTCCAAAACTGATTCCAAAGCTGAGTCAAATGAGAACTGTTCAATAGTTGTTGCCATCTTCCTTGTTGTGCTTTCTCCAGCGTCGTGCAGCTTTGTCGTCACACCCTCAAAACGCTGCCCGCTTTGCATCCAGAAATTCAAAATATCTCTGTTTGGTGATTGGCCGGCCAGTTCTAGGGCCTGGGGCATTGATGTAGGCTAGACCACTAGCAGGCGAAAATTATTTTGGCCGCTGGCGGGTGGGGCTAGTTTACCAGGCTACTGATAAGGCACACTCATTTTTATTATTTTATTCCATTTTAAGCCATTATATATTTTTAAAATTTTTTTTATTACAGTAATAATTGATATTTCTTCAATAGCTTCCAGGTCATGTGACCCACCGACTCCAAATCTATGTCATATTGTTCTACTAGGAAGATGGGGCACAGTCATTTTTATTCAGTTTCAAGCATTTGCATATTTTTGCCTTACTGTGCCTTAACCAGCAATCAGAGGTAGTGGGTGTCATCCTAAAAAAAACATTAACCTGAATGCAGGTCTTCACTGGAAAAAATGTGTTCATTTACTTTATTTCCATCATCACAGAAAAGGTCTATTAAAGGCCTTCCTGATAAAATACCACCACATGCGTATGAGGAAATTAGATCACTTGCTTTGACACATACGTCACGTATAAGATTTAAAATTAACTGAATGAACCGAAATTCACTTGGTTGGATACAACAGCCCACATTCCAGCAACTTTGAGTGATGTCTAAAAGTTTGCTGCCACACGTATATGATTCCGCATATGATATGGAATTATATGATTCCAAGAAGAAGTCATCGGTTTCCGATTGGTGTCACTGAGCAGGTATGGTACAATGGTTTGTCAAAGCCTGGCTGTTAGCCTGGTAAGGAGCAGGCCAGCAGCAAAATAAATAACCATGGTAAATCATCAGTTATTGCTTTCGTGAAACTAACTTGTGGCTTAATTTTTCCCAGATATCCGGAAAATCCAACAAAAGCCCTAATCTTAGTTCCATAAAATAAGGTCCAGACTTTGGAATTTTTATGTTTATAGCTCCAATAAAAGGATCGTCTCACTACTGTGACTCCTTGGATTATAATCTTTGCAGATGATATTGGGATCTCTTTAAAATAAAAAATTAAAGCACAGATGGTACTGAAGTACTTTTGACAAGAAACCATTTAGTGATCCGCTGACTTTTATTAAAAATACTGTTTAACTTTGTTATGAAGACAAAATATTTTTTATGGACCTTTTCTGTATAACTGGGTGAACCATTCATCTGGAAGGGATTTAAAGGTTTATATTTTTTAGATTTATAAAAAAATAACACCTGTTTGAACCTAATTAACTTTTTAAAAAAAGTTAAAAAGTCATAATTATCATTTGCATCACATGAAAATTTGACAAGTAGATTTCTAAAAACAGCCACATTTTCAGAAATCCAAAATTAGAGCAGATTCAGTTTTGCCCCCTTTTGACATTTTAATCTTTTTTTTAGTACACAGAAAGGTGATTTCCCCACTGATATCACTCTGTTGATGTCATTTCATTTCCCCCCAGTTTTAAGAAGATGGTCTTCGGTGAAAACTATAACTAATTTCTATTCTAAAACATTTACAATACCCTAAAAGTGACAGATTTAGGGCCTCTGGCCAACCATCTAGTGTAATGGAATGAGCAGGCCCCTGCTTAAAACCTTCTTTGACTGTGTTGGTCTGAGCTCTACTCTACGCTGTCATCTGTTGGGCCCCTGGCAGCGCAGGGCAGGACAGGAAGAGACTAAACAAACTGGTGAGAAAGGTTGTTTCTATCCAAGGCTGCACTCTGGACTCAGTGGAAGAAGTGGCTGAGAGGAGGGTGCTGTCCACGCTTACATCCATCATGGACAACACATTTCACCCTCTGCACCAGACTATAGAAGAGCAGAGCAGCTCCTTTAGTGAAAGATTATTACATCCTGCTTTTAAAAAGGAGCGTTACCAAAGGTCATTCATACCTGCTGCCATTAGACTTTACAATGCAGCACTATAACTGCAATAACTACTATGCAATTATTTACTACCCTGTGCAATAACCTGTTTATATTTAATACAGAGTGCAATAACTAATGTGTGTATATATATATATATATATATATATATATATATATATATATATATATATATATATATAGTATATACACACACGCTCTGTATATATCCGTTGCACCTTTTCCTCCTTTTGGCACCCTCTTCTTTTTGACTGAGCCGATGTAATGAGTAAATTTCTCCACCGTGAGATCAAATTCTATCAATCAAAGGGGAGATTAAAGAGCTTACGCTGTGTTGTAGATCAAGATAAATGCTGAATATACACAGAGGAATGATGGTGGGTGTTATTAGACAGGATGTCAAATATTGAGTTTAGAGAAACATTCTCTAGAGAAAAAAATACATTTATTTATACTGTTTGGAAACACATAAGACAGCAGCACAGTTAAGGTAATCCACAATTATGTTATTTTATAAACATCACTATATAAAAATAGTTAGAAAACATTTCCTTAACACGTATTTAACAAAAGGTTAACACTTTAATTTATAGAATCAAAACTTTACCACCCTCTGCAGTTCAGTTCTCTGACTCCGAAATGCAAAATAAGAGACTTCCTTTAAAAAACATGAGAACACGTGGAAACCTATCCGCCTTCTGTCTGACACCAGTATGAACAGTGATTCACAGCTGCGGGGTTCACCTGCTCAGGAATCATTGGGGGCGGTGTGAACCCCAGAAACACAAAGCTTACAGCTTAACCACCCATCTCCAGCCCACATGTAGGGTTCAACCCAACAGCTTCCATTCTCTCCTCCATCACAATGACTCATGCAGCTCAGGTTCATACAGTCACATCCCACCTCGGCGTTTTGGCTGTTTTTGGCTTTCCCGTAACTTGCAAGGTCAAAACTGGTTCTCTTCTAATGTGCATGAGTCTCCAACAACCACTAATGGAAGCATTCTGGGTGAAGGAAGAGCTTTTTGTGGGGATGTCTGTGTCCAAAAACCACCAGGCAGCAGCGACAATAAGCAGTTGTGGCTTTAAGCTGTATTTATCCAGTCAGGAGACTAAACACAGCTAAAGTTAGAGCAGAGATTTATATTTTTGTCATCTTAGTATTTTCCTTCAGACATTTCTGCTCATTTCCTGTGCGTTGCACATACCTCAGGATTCACAAACCGTTAGAGAAGGCAGTGGGGTCGTTAGCTTAAGATGCAATGATCACATTTCTCTGAACAAAATACAGCCTCAATAAAACATATCAGAGCAGTAAACCATTTCTAAATATCACATTTAAGGCAGTCAGTTTAATATAATGATCTTTATAGTTACAGAAGATTTTATAAAATGAAAAAAAGAGGAATTAAATATACTGAATCCAAATATACTGTAAACTCTTAGGGCTATGAAAATGTCAGCTTTCAGCAGTTCTTCATTAGCAGGAGTCATTTGTAGCATTAAATAATGGTTCAGGTCTTTTTCCTTTGTAGGAAAGCAGGTTTCTGCTCCAGCAGAATGTTTCCAGGTCGGAGGAGCAGAACAAGCAGCTTCTTTTCTGCACGGCGCCGAGCATCTGGGTCAGGCTCAGAACTCGGCCGTAGCATTAGTCTAGCGGGGATGTGGAATGTCCAATCAGTCTGGATGGAAACACAAAACAGATTTTTTTTTAAAACAAACTACAAAGAATCTTGAACAACTTTTAATTTAGCTATTTTCAATGATTTTGGTTAAAAATCCTAAAAAGCACAAAGCAGAAGAAGTCTGAAAACCTTTAAAATGATAATGTTACAAAGTATATAAAATGTACTTTATATTTTAGTTACAGTCTCACGTTCAACAAAAGGAGACCATTAAGCATCCTTAATCTGGAGATTTAAAACCTCTTGGCATAACGTCCCTCTGCAGGCAGCAAGAACTCAAGGCTAAATTGCTAACTTGGAACCATTTAAAGTGTTTTCAGGTCATTTTTTTCTATTTTGATTATTAGTTCAGTGTCCTGAACTGCCTTAAGCCACAGTGCAGAATCATAAAAAAATGTAACAAATACCCCTAAAAGGCTTAGTTAGAATAAAACCATTCTATAATTTTCTTTCCAAAAAGAAGGAGTGCAGCAGTTATGTTTCAACAATACTGGATAAAAAGCCAGTTACAGCTGTTGTGGTCACTGCATTCTTGTGGCAGAGTGGATTTCAGCTGAAACCAAGTCTATTTCAGACAATGAACTATGACTTAAGATGGCAATGAATTGTGCAGCTTTAAGTCATTTCAATACCAACATTTGAGGTTTTAGATTCGTTTTGCACCGCTTTAGTAAAAAAATCTCTTAAATACATGACAATATCTTAAAGACACATGGAGTGAATTAAACTAAAAATTACTGTAACCAACCAGTTGTAGTTAGTTTCTTATACCCATGAGGTTTATAAGAAATTTCATTTTAGGCCAAACCACAGCACAGAAACAGATACTTTTAAAAGTGTTTTACATAATTTAATCCCTTTAAACTGGTCAGTTTGCTTCTTTGTTTTAATCCTTTAGTTCTGGAATGACGTTTTGACATTGATGATATGGCCCGCAGTCATATTAGATTCTTTAAGGGGTGCCCCATTAATTCTGGGGCACCACAAGGCCATATCTTTGATACAATGCTCTTCTCATTAAGCTTCCCATTTTCCATCATGATTCTTAAAGTCACTGTACTCAAATAGGGCATAAAGTTAGGGTTTCTGTTTCAGTCGCTTTGCCAAGTATAATATGACAATTTGTGCCAATATCATACTTTTTAGATTAACTCAAGCTGCTTATTTTTATGGTTGTGCAACATGGTTGACAGAAGTTCTGCATACTCCATCAAGAACTATGAAATCCACAAGCCAGTCACCGTTTAACATTCCCAAATCAGCCTTATAGAGATGCTGACTAAAATGTCAGAAACGAAATAGTTTACTTTGAATCACACTCTAAAGACGACATCATGTTATAAGACCATACTGTTACAACAATCTGAATCAGGTCATTCAGAATGAAGGCGAGCTGGAAACCGCAGCTTCTTCCTTAATCCAGGCTACATTACAATGATAATGCTACTCCTCAAAATAAAGATTTTTTAACATTCACTCAGGAGACTGTACTTCACTCATTTGGCTTCATTCTACGTATGAAGAGTCACAGAAAATATTAGCGGTTTAGGCTCAACCAGGCATCTAAATGTAGATTTAAAGCACTTCCTCTACATGATCACACAAATTTAGTTTAGTTAAAAGAGAAGGAATTCACTGTTGCCTTTAAAAAAAAAATAAAAATAAAGTGCTTTATGACTTTACGTTGAGGGGAAAAAACCCCCAGCAAAGCTGGATACAGGACCTTTTCAGATTATGGTCACAGACTTGCAGGACCGCCCTTCAAACTCCGATTGCCCATTTTAAACTCTTACAACTCGTTTGCACTTACTTTGAATCTATGAGATATGTTATATTTAACAGTTTCATATATAAACAGACAGTCTAATTATGGAAATATTTAATAAGGAAAACTCAAAATACATGATTTCCATATTGTGCGAGTCCAAATCCTCACTGTGGACTGATCAAGCATCAAACCACTAAGTCCAAAGGGTTTCAAGTAATTGAGAAACTGGGGAAAATATCCCGACCACAGCAGTTTCTGTTCATTGTTTGAGCAATGCAATAAACAGCAAATCATTGTTAGTGGATTCAAGCTTTAAAGCAGTGTTGCAATAATTACAGAGCAGCAGGGAAGTCATTTTAAACGGGCATGGTCCAACTGCTTTGTTCACTCAGTGCCATCAATCATAGCAAATCATCAGATGAGTTTCTGACCTAATTTTAAAGTTACAGGCCCTTGTCATAAAAAACAGGAGGAGATGGTTGATGATAAAGAGCTCATGGTATAAATGTCTCATTTCCAGATATTTTTATTTATGTCTTAGGCTCTTTTAGCAAAGCAAAGATACAAGAAATGATACCACTCAAAACGCCCACAAGCATCTAAAGAAAGCATATGACTGATAATTTCAGAATGAATACATTCATGAGTCACAATAAAGTTGCAATCGTACCTCTTAGACTCAGCTTTATGAAAATGAATCAACAGATTGCTCAGTGCATCAAAATGACCAGCAGGTGTCACTGGTCTGCAGCACTGTCTTTTGATTCAGGGTCAGAGGAGTTTTTGTGATTTGAGCAGGATGTGGTGCCACCCCTCCTTTCCTCCTTTGCAACAGAAGCAACCCATCAGCTAAAGGATCTTTAGTGGAAAACTGTTCTTGTCAAGGCCTGCTTCCTTTTTTCTGCAGGGGCCACAGGGATCAGGGAAACGCAGCCACAAATAGACCCAGCAGGTTTTTACTGGAACAACCTCAGGCCATGGCAGCTCTTCCCAGCTGGGATCTGAAGCCAAAGCAAGGCCTGAATAATGCACACAATCAGAGGCCGGGTTGTGGTTCGACCTCACATCTATAAAAAGCTCCACAGTGGCTTCCTCTGCAGATCGCAGGCTCCATGTCAACAAAGTTTCTAACTTCAGATTACATATAAAAACTTGAATCTTTTTTTCAATAAATACAACAAGGAGGTTTGGATTTCTGTATTCATGTCAAGAACATTAAAGCAAACTAAACCAGTGGAGTGACATCAGGTTGGATCAAAGCCCACCACACAGCTCTGGTTATTATAGCCATTTGTCAAAACATTAAACTAATCTCTTATAATGAAGAATCTGAAATGATTCATACAGAATAAAAAACAAAAAATAATCAAAAATAAGTAAAAAAAAAACTGTGGCCAGATTGCCAGCATCTAACTGGACCTCTGATTGCTTCTAAAACAAGAGACTAAATCGGAGAGGTTTGGGTTGACAAGCACAGAAAATCAAGTTGTCACTGCAGATCTGTCAACTCTTAGGAATCAAATCTCTCATTTGGCCACATGGCAAGGGAAGCTTATTGAACTGCAATGTCTGGCTGGAAGAAATACATTTGATGTAATTCGAGCTTTTTGACATTCTGCCTGAACAAAAGATGATGGACACACTGTGGCCATGAATGGATGAATGTTGACATGTGTGTTGGTGCTATAAAAGGTGAGAGTGGGTCAAGAGAAAAAAAAAAAATCTAGGGCTGCAACCAACAAATCATTTGCTAAATAGATTTTTTTATGAATAAATAATCAGAAAGCAAACAGTCCATTATAGTTTTTTAGTTCATTTTTTAACCCCCAATTTGAAGCAGGTGAAACTTAAACTTCCTCTACAGGGGTTCTCGATAGAGTATGTTTACTGACAAGGGTTTATACATGTTCATTTCTTAGGTCTCAGCTTGGTTTCTTCACAGAATAAGTTGTTCTTTTGCTCTGAATCATTTACTCTAACGATTAAGTCAACTGATTAATCACAACTAATTCGCACTTCCTTCAAACTGAGCCTTCAGTGCATTGTGAGAATGGATTTATTGTTTTTAATCTGTCTCATATCGGTTTTGAACATGCCGCCTGATGATCCATTTTGACCTTTTCTGTCTTTTTTTTTAATGGCTTGTTTTCTGTAAACCTGCAACATCCAGATGAACTATTCATGCACCAACACTATGCCATGTTCATAGGGACATAAATGTCCTTTCCTCCCCAAACTGATGCTTGGTTTTAATGTCAGGAAGTGGTCTTCCCCATGTCTAGATGGAGAAAAGGTCAGTCATAAAAAAGATGGGTTCTTACAGATTTTCCATGCAGAAATAATAATTTTTAAAACTCAAACTTCCAACAAAAACAAGAGAGGCATGGAGGACACCAAGAAGGAAATAAAGATTACATGAAAAAGAGATAGTAAACCAGGAAAGTTGATATAAAAGGAAAAATCATCTGTGGATCAATCAAATTTCTCCAGCAGGTTTTCCAGCTCCTTTAGTGTTAAAAAGTCAACTATGAATAATCCTTACATGCCCTCACTGGTTGTGCGATATAAAGTCATAAAGGATGTGACCAATGCTTTATAGACCACTCCTGAGATATGCTGTCATTTCCCCACCAACAACAGTCTGATTCACATCAGAGCATCAGACCGTGTGCCCAGTATATCCAAGGCAAGGAGTGGGAATACAGATGGTGTGTGTCTGCGTCCCGGCAAAGCTGAGATGAGGCCTTGTTATCAGACTGGGCATTCTTTCAACTTCAGGCGGGTCCCAAGTCCCTCACCCAGGCTCCCTCCAGTCCGTCTTCTCCAGAATAAGGGATTTGATGAAGAAAGGGGGTCTTTTCTTCAGGCCGTTAGCTCCAGACAATCAGCGCGGCCACTTATTATTCTGCTCAGGCGAGGCTCAGTTGGGAAAATGAGGAAAACTTTACCTCATGTGGAAAGCGTTGAGGAGAAAAACATAGAGATGTCTTTCTTTGGTTGATAAATATTTACATTTTTGTAAAGCAGACCTTTCCAAAACAAAATCATTCATGTCTGAGAAAGTTATAAGACCTCACAGGAATAACTAAATTAGTTAATCAAGTTCCCGTTTTATAAAAGAAGATAAAATCAGTGAGGATGCCGAGCTGGAATTGATAGGAAACAGATCGATGCTGATTGGGGCTAAATTACTGAATAGAAAAACACCTTGAGACCATTTAGCTTATTTTTACTCCTCTTTAACTGTAGAGGAAGAACAATTTCTCAGTTTTACCTCCAAATATGAAAGGATTTAGGACAGATACGCCGCATTAGACTGACCCCACACTGATGTCAAAGGCCAAGTGTTTCTGCAGCTTCATCGTATGCAGAAACAAAGACTATATGGATGAGTTAGAAGCAGTTCTAATATAAAGAAGCTCTTCATATCATCTGAACACTGAGAGCTGGCTGCCCACACGTTGCGCTTTCATTTATGCTGTATTCACTTTTTAAATGCCTAAAAAGTCATACATTTTCAGACAAACAACCGTTTTATAGGCAGTTAAGGCATTTAAAAGGTGCAAAAATATAAAGTTCTAAAACATCCAATTTGCTCTAATGTTCTTTTATTTTATATATATATAAAAAAGAAATCAACATTTACATCATTATTCGGCAGCTCACATGTCGTTCCACACGCACCCCAAAGTGGTGCAGATCAACATACCATGTTTTTATTTAATAGTTTCATTCATTTAATATTGAATTCTTATATTTATAACTTAACTTCCAGATGTATTTAAAGCTCCAACTAACAGGAAAGTTGTAGAAATTACACATTTCAGATCCTTATAGGAGTATCGAATTCCTCTAATTGTGCAGTAAATGAGTTAAAAAAACTCAGTTACTTTACGCTAGGAAATGTTGGAAAATTTAGATTTCTCTTCTATTATAAATTAATTTATCCTATTTACTCACTATAAAAGTTTTCACTCAGTCCATTTCACCTTGAAGGCCAGACATTCTCTGCGGGATGGCATTTGTAGACCAGACATAGCTTCTTCCCATAACAATCCAGATTCTATCTCAAGGTTTATTCATAACATGTTACTGTTAACCAAAGTGTCTGTAATTTGTTTTGACTCCGACTGCTTTCCATTGTTGTAAGTAAGGGGGAACGAACACTGCTCATGCAGAACAGGGCAGAATGCTGTGCCATAAGGGCTGCATGATGAACTGTTCTCTCTTTGCAAAGACATGAATAAATGTGCAGACTGAGTGAAATCCATCAACCTCCGTTTATTAACTAGGGTGAATAGTTCAATACCTTTTTCCCCCGCTACAGTAACTAGAAACTAAATAACTACTTTTTAAATAACGTTCACAACACTGGCACAATTCATGAATCAATAAGCCAGAAAGAACAAATATTCAACATCAACAGGGAGGAGAGTCTCATAACTACTCACCTACTCATACTTATGTTTGTTTTTTAATAGCCACTTGCATAATATAAAAAAAAATTTGAGAAAAAAAAAAAGGTACAGTATGCTGCTAAAGGTAGACATGGCCTACACCCACACTAATGTGGTTTTCTCTCTCTACCCTGCCTCAAGCAGTAAATGCCAAACCTAAAGGATGTATGTATAAATATAACAACTTTTTCTTTTTCATATGTTTTTTGATTAATGAAATCCTGACATGTGTAACAGAGCAAGGAAAAATGACAAATGGGATAATTTTACATCCAGAACGAGGTGATCAGATAATATTAATTATCAAAGATGTTTGTGGTTATAAATTAGTTTAGGAAATAAAAGTAGGAAGAAATGTCAGAAGTGCAGAAGCTTGAAGATGTAACTAACTGACATCCTTCTTGGAGATTCAAAAGCACATAAGTTAATGTTATTGAAATTAATAGCAGTAATGACTGATTGCTTGTAACAAAAACATTTAAAAAGTAAACTGATCAAGACAGATATCGCATTTTGAAACAGCTCATAAGGACAAAATGAAGGACAGTAATACAGCCATCAATGGATTATCAGAAGAACTGGTTGATTTAACTAATCTAACGTTTTTGCTGATATGCAGAGTTTGCGAGATGAGAAATAATCCCTGTTGATGACTGCAGTATCAGTGATAAGGAAATATCTGGTGACTCAACAGATTCCCGTTAGAGGGATCCAACAATCTTATCTGTCAGCAGCGTCACACACCTACATGTTTCATATAAGGAGATGCTTCCTGTTTCAGTCGCCATTAAACCAAAAGTGGTTTCCATCCATGCATGTTTTTGCTTATTTTGCATTTCTCTCTAATCATCTACTGAAATTAGGCCACATGTCATTAAGCATAAAATGAAGCTGAACTGTCTGGTTAAAAACAACAAAAATAAAATTTAAATGCATAAGACCGAGGTAAGAACACCAGACAGAAGAAAAACAGTTAATATGCTTTTAGAAGGAGTAGAAATTTGTAGGTTTCTTATAACTTCTAAATCCAAAATGGCCACTTATATAAAATTTTCAAGTGCCAGTAAAAAAAAGTTGATTTGCCCCCATGTGGATATGAGTGTTAAACGTTCACATAGATCAATAAATTGTCAAATTCTACAAGGGCTTTGTGCAGGAAACCTGAAGACAGTGAACCTCTTAGTAGTTTAATAAAATGGTAATACGTGTCCTTTGGTGATTCTCTCCCTATTTTTATCTGGTTCTGCTGGAAGTTTCTTCCTGTTAAAAGGGAGCTTTTCCTCTCCACTGTCGCTATAGGCATGCTTAGTGTAATGGATTGCATTTGAGTCAATGAGTCGATGCAATCAACAGGGTTTCCTTAGATTGAAAACTTTCAATCAATTTGACTGTTTGATTGGCGCTATATAAATAAACTGAATCTACCAATTTACCAATTCTACATTTAAAATGTTGCACATTATTATTTTTTGGGAGGAGGAAGAAAGACAGTAGGACATAAAACAGAAAGGAAACATTGAAGGAAGGAAGAACAGATAAAGAAAAGTGGGAAAAAATAAATTAGGTGGGGCACAAGGAAGGAAAGGAGGACAAAAGGTGCGCCAGTGTGATAAGGTAGGGAGGTAGGTAGCATGCAAGGAAGGAGAAAAGAATATGTGTTAAGAATGGAAGCCTACAGCTAAGCTGCTGCTCATTCACTATCAATTTATACACTCTGTGTATACAAAACTATTATAAAGTTGTCCAAGTCTAAGAATAAGGAGTGACAAGGAAGGAAAGGAGGGAAGGAAGGAAAGGAGAGAAGGACGGAAAGAAAAAGGAGAGAAGGCTGGACAGAAAGGGAGGAAAAAAATAGGGACAAAATAATAAAGGAAGGAAAATAGGATGAAAAAAAAGAAAGGAGGGACTTCATAATAACACATTAGGAAAGAATGAAGGGAAGGCATTGTGTCACAGAAACTGAGAAAGTTAAATAATCTGAAAGGGCCCAGATGATAAGGGGATGGAAAACTTTTGCTGGAAATCCAAACATTTCCATTTTCCTTTTCCACACTCCTCCCGGCTGCCTTTGAACCCAGGCGTCGTGGTATTGTTCCCATCAGCAGATAACGAGCAAGAGTTGATGGAAGCAGCAAAGTTTAGAGGAAATATAGGAAACTGATGTTACAGTACCTGCTATAAAACTAGAGCCAACCTCACTGGAGTGAAAGGATTTACTATTAATCATTAAACTAAAACAAAAGATAAAAAAGGGTCTGAGTAGAACCCTGGCTGAGCTGCTATGATCCTTGGCTTGTGGCACTGTGGCCCATAAAACACCAGACTGTTTTCTGTTTATGTAACCAGCAGAAACAGGACCGCTACATCACACTCACACACTGACAGCCACTCAAAACTTGGCCCCTAGAACAGGCCACAAGAGAGACAAAGCTCTGCATATCTGCTGAGCGTTTCCTCCTCATGACCGACGGCCACATAGAAGAAATACTTGTGGCAAAAAAAAAAAAAGTGTGAATATCTTTTGGTCTGTTATAAACATAGTAGTTTTCTACTGAACTATAAAGGAAACACTCCACGTCAGTGGTTTTCATATTTACCAGCTGCATAAACAACGAAACCAATTTAAATCAGAGTAAAATTCCCCTCCACCTACATTAAGGTGAGAGGTATTTCCAAGCCAAGGTGTGATTTCTGGGAAATGAGCTTCACCAGTCCTGCTGGCACAATTGGAGGCTGTGTGAGGTGTTGACGGGAGAAAAGGAGGTGAAACGGATCCCAGACTTACCGTCGGTACAGATGAAGCACTTGCAGAGACACACACACAGACACAGGAGGAGAACAGCTGCCACACCACACACCGAGATCAGGATAATGGTGGTTGGATTCATTGCTGCAAAAAAAAAAAAAAAAAAAAGAAAATACTTTCTCTAAAAATACTGTTTTTGTTGTTGTTTTTTTTTTTGTTTTTTTTTTGTTTTGGACTAATTAAAATCTGAAACTTGAAGAAAATGTTTTCCTTAAGCTCAATTTTATTTAATCTTCCTAAATATCAACCAATCATTTAAAAATCTGAATAAGGTATAATCCAACAGAACCCTACAGACATGGACACTCTGGAGGAGCTGCAGAGATTCCTGGCTGCGTTCCATAACTTTAAAACAATTAAACTGGTAAATCGTTCAGTTTTCAATCAGTATTCATCTTGTGCAAACTGAAAAAAGGACAAAAAAACTTGATACGGCTCTTTGTTTATAGGTTTGCTGATTTTTGGTTAATATAGTAATCAATCATTAAAGCAGACTATACAGACTATATAAAACAAAAACCTCAAGTGGCACAGTTAGAATTTAATGTGGTACAAATTGTGGATCACCTTTATCTATCCAATAATGAATCAAAAGTAATAATCAACAGTTTAATAGATTGGCAGCATAAATGGTAGATGCAGCCAGACAGCAAACACTTAGGCTACTTTTACACTG